TAGGTTGGTTGCAAAGGGGTTTACTCAAAAAGAGGGGGTAGATTATGCAGAAATCTTTGCTCATGTTGTTAAATTCACCACTATTCGTATGATGCTTGCTTTAGTTGCTCACCATGACTGGGAAATGAAACAAATGGATGTAACTACTGCATTTTTGCATGGTGAATTGGATAAAACAATTTATATGACCCAGCCTGAGGGCTTTATGGATCCCAAGAGAAGTGAGCATGTCTGTTTGCTTAGGAAGGCATTGTATGGCCTGAAGCAATCCCCTAGGCAGTGGAACATCAAATTTGATAAATGCATGATATCTTTGAAGTTCCAAAAATCTGTTTGTGATCATTGCCTGTATTTCAAGAATACTTCCTCTGTGCCTGTATTTTTGTTACTCTATGTGGATGACATGCTGATAATTAGTCCTTCTCTGAATGCTATTAAAGCTGTGCAAAAATGTCTTTGTGCGAATTTTGCCATGAAAGACCTAGGTGATGCCAAGAGGATCCTAGGCATAAACATTGTTAGGGATAGGAGTAAGCGTACTCTTACTTTGAATCAGATTTCTTACATAGAAAAAGTTTTGAGTAAATTCAATATGTTATCTGCTTCTCCTGTTAATGTCCCTATGGCATCTCACTTTGTGTTAAGTAAGGACCAGTCTCCCAAGACTGCTCCTGAAATTGAGAAAATGAAATCTGTGCCTTATTCCAGTGCAATAGGATCGGTGATGTATCTTATGGTTAGCACTAGACCTGATATTGCATATGCAGTTAGTTGCTTGAGTAGATATATGTCCAACCCTGGTTTGCCCCATTGGAATGCTCTTAAGTGGTTGCTTAGATATTTGATTTCTACTGTAAAGCATGGATTAATTTTCTCTAAATGTGCTAGTGGTATTGAATTGATTGGTTATGTTGATTCTAACTATGCAAATGATAGAGATAACAGGAAGTCGACCACTTCTTATGTTTTTACTTTGTGTGGCTCTTGCATTAGTTGGAAGTCTCAACTACAGCTTATTGTGGCCCTTTCTACCACTGAGTCCGAGTATGTTGCAGCCACAGAAGCGTTTAAGGAAGCCATCTGGTTCAAACGCCTTGTCTCCGAAATTGGGTTTCTCAAAAAGGGAGTTACCATTTTGACATTTTCTCGGATAGCCAATCGGCTATCCAACTTTGCAAAAATCCTGTTTTTCATGATAGAACTAAGCATATTGATGTTAGGTTCCATTTCATACGTGATATTGTTGATGCAGGTGGAGTCAAGTTGTGCAAGATCCCATCGGAGTTTAACCCTGTGGATATGGGTACCAAGTGTCTTTCTGCTGAGAAGCACTTGTCCTGTAAACGCGTGTTAAACTTTGATTGTGGATAACTGTGGGTTGCCTAATAAAGTGTTTGCTCGTTTTGTCAGTTGATATTCCGGGTGACCCAGCGATGATGAGTCTTGTCACAACCTTGTATTGTTACTCTACACCACCTAGGACCAATAAGGTGGAGAATGTTGGAGGTATTGGTCCTACCAAGGCCTCCCTTCCACTTTATTTGCTGAGGCTTGCACCCTATTGTTTTACTCCCACTTTGGTACCTTTACCTTGGTATTTTATCTGATCAATAATATACCTGTTTGAGGGTTAACTTATCCACTTGGCTGGCCCCTTTGTGTTCTGTCCGCTGCATCTACCTTGTCTTGGCCTATACATGTGACTTTGCCTTGTCTTTGTAGCATGTGAGTGTTTGTTGTTTTGACCTCACCCGTGACTTCTCTTCTAGCTGGCAGCCTAGTATTTGTACCCCTTGCTTCTCCCTTTGTGAAGCAGCCTGCGTGAGTATTGTATCCCAGAGAGCAGAGCTCCCTTTCTTCCTCCTTTGTGTGAGAATAGATAGGTCCTTAGTGGAGAGTAATATTTGGGTGTGCTATAGCTTCCTCTTAGTGTGGTGTGTGAGAGTGTGTGTTGAAAGACCTGAGCCGGAGACGGAAACGGTCCTTACACTAATTCTATAGGCAATTTTCAAAGTAAATTTCGTAAAGATTTTCTGTTTTGTGATTCTTTCCGATTCTTCTCAAGTTCTAGCCTAAAGAGTTTCTGTTTCCTGATTCTTACTATTCAATTGCTTGGTCCAAAGGAAAGGTATGTAGAGTCAGTTTCCTAAATTAGAAGCTAAAGATCAGAGCTTCTGTTTCTCATTCTTCCTGAAAAATCAATGTTTAGTTTATCATGTTTCTTGAGTTGTAGTTATAAACTAAATATCCATTTCAATATTTTTAATAACTATAGTTATTAAAATATTGACAAAAGGTCCAAAGGTGTAATTTAGTCCACATTTTAATTGTTTAGAGAAACTCCACAAGTATGATAGTTGAGTGGTCAAATAAAATGAATCATGTAAGGTGATTTTGCTATACATTTCTGAATTTTGATGAGACCTTTTAATCAATTTTCTCAGTTTTAGACCCACATTTACTTCAGTTGTACTTACTAGAGTCCTTCACAATATTTTTTTCCCTCTCAAATTTATTTTTGTAAATTATAACATTGATTTAAAGATACATACTACAAACGTATAATTGTATAAATGCCCAATTATCTATCCATTTATTATATTTTTTGAATTTCTTGCAATTTTGACATTATTTTAATAATTTATGGGTTGAGTTGAACAAACTTGACATGTTCATAAGCTTATTTAAACATTTTGTTTCCAGTCAGCGATAGACAGAATGACGTGATTAATAATTATTGTCATAAAAATGAATTTGTATTTTTTTAACTAGTTCAAGGTGTGAATTAGTCATTTTCTAATTAAGAGACGGAAGTGTGCAAATGTTGGAAGTATAAAGCTATATGTCTACTTGATCCCTTTAGCCAAAAAAGCCTCTCATGTGAATACTTAAGGCCTATTTGGTAACGGCTGCAATGGTTGCAATGGTTGCAATGGCTGCAAGCCTGCAACGGTTGAAATTGCTGATTTGAAAGTGTTTGGTAATTTTTTGGCTGAAGTGGCTGATTGGATGTATAATTACCAGAAAGGGTATTTGATTTTTGTATTTTGACTATATATAGGTAGCTTTGATAGTAAAATCCTTTTGACTAATATGAGTAAATTAATTTTAAAAACTACACTTTTTATTATTAAATGAATATATTAACAAACTAAACTCTTAACCTCACATGCATATAAATAAAAAAGGGAACATAAATTAAATGTTAGTGTTAATTGGAAGCATAAAAAATTAAAAGTTACTGATTTGCAAGCTACGTATAGAGTAAATTAATTGGAAATCAATTGAACACAATAGTATACATAAATTAAAAAACTACAATTTGGTTTATTATATTAACAAGCTACGTATATAAAGCTTTTTGCAAAACATTGAATGGGACAAAGATGTCAATTAACAAGTAAATGGTCATAAAATAGATTTCTGCCCAGAAAGTAAGCCTTGAGCTATTTTTTTCAGCTAATAATAAAAATCAGTCCATTTAAGGGGTGTTTGGTGATTTTTATGTATTTTGAGGCTTTTCAACCAAATTTTGCTTCTCCAAACGGGCACTCAGTCTTATTTGTTATCGTGTTTAATTTTGAGTATTAGAAACTGGACTCTTTTAAAATCAAGGTACTCGACATTTTGGCTCGGATTCTCCTTTTAGAGTGAGACTCATTGCATTCTCCCTACTCTTTAACCTCCGCTCTCTTCTCTCCTCGTACACTCCTCTCTCCCTCTTTTATCCCTTACCTCTTTTATTTTCTTCCTTCTGCATTACCCTTTCCCAAATTCGTACTCATCTACATCGTCATTCATCCCGGGTTTCTTTTGTATCACTCTTCCGCCCCATTGAGTATCACATAAAATTAAAACACTAAATCACATTAGAGAAAAAGTAGAGTGTTATTACCTTAGGCGGTGTAGGTAAGAGAAAGTGGTGGCTGAACGCAGGCATGGGGTTTCATCGATGATACTTGGAGGCCCGCGGCAACAAGGTCTGAGTCTATGAGTCGAAAACTGAAAAAGAGTTGACAAAGACACAAAGTAACTCGAATATATAAAGTTGTCCGTAAAAATATTGATTTGGAAGTGGAGAGTTGCAGAAAAATGAAAAGGAAAAAGAAAGGTAGAAGTTTGGTGCGAAGTAGCGTGTAGGAAGGGATCCGGTTTCTCTGCCTGGATTTGGCCGCCAGGTAGGGTGCCTGGCTAATAATGGCCTTCCGATGCAATATTTGACGATCCCAATGCGCTGCTCCTTTCTGCTTTGTCGTCCGATTTAAGCCAAGGACTATGTCGTGCAGCAGAGGATCCTAATCCTTGTAGGAAGGACAGGGAGTAGATGAGAGTGCAGAGAAAAAGGACACAGAGTAAAAGAAAACAATAAGAAAGTTATATAACGTTTATAGAACCCTTTGTCCAACTTTTTTTTGGACAAGCGTTTAGAACGCATATATAGGAAAGGTGTGTACAAGCTGAAAAGCTCTTGAAACCACCATTAAATTGATTGAATCTTTTAAATTATTATTAATAAAAAGAGAAATAGCAAAGTATATGTGAATGATTAAAATCATCATCTCTGGTACGTCCATCAATTACAGCCAAAAGAAAATATTAAAACCTCATTTCTCCTCAAAATTGACTTCAACTCTCCTATTCGGAAAAAAAAATGTTAATGAAACTAGTCGATAAGCTGAAAAATTATCCATAACCACTGTATCTCTGGTCCAGATATCAGTAGTTCGACATAATTATGCGTTGGAAACTAAAAGAATGAGCAGCTCGTGGCATCAGATGCAATGAAAATGAATTTTCCCATGGAATGTGTAAAAAAAACAGACCATAATAACTTCTAAACAAACTTGAATAATCAGCATGAGCAACCTTTCTACTTCCAATCCTTGCAAATTGTAAACGAAACCACAATGAACATCTTTAGAGACCCACAGGAAAATAATTGCTACAATGGGTTAAAACCCCATCTATATGAAAGTGTGTATCAGATACTTGCAAGTCCATTGAGGTGCAAAGAACCAATTCCTTATTCAATGACTATTCATTTCAATTGAGCTAATCGCTACAAAAGCATCCATTTATGTTTCTGAACATAGATAAAAACCAAAAATTCCCACGATCACTAGAACCAATATTATCGAAAAGTAGTAAACGCACAAGTAATACGAACGAATTACATGCCATTGCTTGAAAAAGAAATAACCTACACATGGAGTTTAGAGATATCATCATCCTGCACTAGTTACAACAGAGCAAACAGCCCAAGAATAACAAATACGTAGTATAAGACTAGTGATTTGCTCAATTGTTTTGGGTTGTCAAAGGATCGGAAGAAGGCGGCGGTGGCAATGCATAGCCATTCTTAGGCAACTTAGATAGCACAATTCTCACCCCTTCTGCCTCCTCTGCCTTCCCAAACAACTGCTTCCTTAGCTTCTCATGCAAATGCCCAAACAGCTCATTCTTCAACGACTCGAATGCCAGGTCAAGCCTCTCTAGCTGCTCCATTGCGTTCTTATTGTACATAAACAGGCCGTAGTACAAATCAAAGCTATCACTAGCTGTATTCTCCACCAAGTCAAGCAACCTCTCGTATCCTTTTGTGCTGATCGGAGTCGGTTCCAATTGCAGCTTCTCCAACACTCTCCCCATAGTGTGTGTGATAAACTGGGAGCCAGCGGCATGTCTGTCATGCTCAGCACAGCTCATCTCCACCATCCTACACCCTTCCTTGGCGAAAATGTCAAGGAAACTTTCTGCCCTAGAAACTCTACATTCCTCATCTCCTATTATCCTGACCTTGTCGAAAACAAATGGCAATCCCTCCCAGCTGCCCTTCCCGCTCTCGGGCCCGAACATGGGGTGAGTACAGAGGATATCGAAATGATGGGGCAGCAATTGGAGAAAAATGCTCTTAGGGAACTCCTTTACCGATAATACGTCGACGAATAGGGTGTTGCGCTTCAGCCGTTGGATTGGAAGGGATCGGAGGACTGATTCGGTGGAGATGATGGAGGTGCAGATGAGGATGACGTCAGGGTGCTGCTCGCAGAGGTCATGGGAGTCGATGAAGAAGGAGGCGCCGATCGATTGGGCCAATTGGGAGTAATTGGTGCGGGAATGAGCAATCACGGTGTGGCCTTGGCGGATGAATGCCTTGGCGAGAAACTGCCCGTAGTTCCCAAACCCTACTACCGCGATTTTCAGCTTGTTTGAGTTGTGGAAGACGTTCGAGATCTGCGTTTCGTAGTCGTACGGCTGGGCGGCGTCGATTGCCCGGATTCGGAGGCGGCGGTTGCTGCACCCGTGCCGCCGGCAGATTGATTGATTTCCAGGAACAGCAATGTATAATCGGCGACGGCGATTCTGGAATTGGTCGACCGGAGACGTCAGTGAGAAACGGGCGGCGGCGGATGTCGAGGAAACGGGTCCTGCAGTCGTGGTTGGGAGGGATTTAATTGCGGCAAAAGACATGGCGAAATTCTATTTATGTAGTTGTAGAGCTATTTATATGTACGAGAGATGAAATGGGAGAATGTCAATGGAGATGGAGAGATGGGAAAGGTTCTGGGTTTAGGCCTGGCTTTAAAGCCTTGTTTGCCGTACCTAAAACCTGGTCATCATTATGACTGGGAGCGCTATCAAGAGTCAAGACTATGTTTGGACCAGAAAAACCAATCATGTAGCCATCTAGCCAACGGTTAAATAATGTAATCCGAGTAAAAAGAGTAAAAGAGAATTTAGAAAAAGTAAACATATTATGAGTTGGTGGAGAGAAATTGTGAGACTTTGACATGTAACGAGTATGAAAGAGAAATTTGAGTAAATGCGTAATTGAAGAGGGAACATTATTTCCTAAATTGAAATGAGAACCTTTAAATGGAACACCCAAATAAGGAAAGTGGGAATATTTCAATGGAACAGAAGGAATACATAGTACTAAGCTAGGTGGGCACAAAACCAATTTTTAAAAAGAATTTAGACAAAATTAAAATTTGTAGTGGACCGTGGGCTTGGTAGGCTCCCTAGCTGCGCCCCTAAGGTGCTCACTTAACTTAAATCGAGTGGTGCTTGATAAATAAAGATCGACTTCGAATTCAAATTGAGTTTCAATCAAGTCCAAAAATATATAGCTTGATTCGAGTTTGAGTCAAGTTTAAGTGGAGTTGAGAAATATGTAGTTTGATTCGAGTTGAGTTCGAGTCGGGGTCGAATTGAGTTCGAGTTTTATCTATTCTAAAAAACCGAAATAATTCTAAAAAAGAGTTTAACTTGTTATACTTTTTTTTCAGTCCACGGGGATCTGGGGGAGGGGACTGAGGGGTCTAGAGTAGTCAGGACTGAAACTCGCTCCATTGAGTTCTAAATCCTTATGTGTCTAGCGAGTTTCGAACTCGAGACCTCCCACTAGGCATAATAACCTCACAACTAGCTGAGCTGGAATGCTTGGTTAGTTTAACTTGTTATACATTTAAACATGTTTGTATAATCATCAATAATTTTTAAACATAAATAGACTTTTAAATTCTTCGTCTGGTTATCGTTTAGGCATTAAGAGGTTATATGGAGCCTATGATTATACGGAGTATTTATTTAAACTTAAAATGAATTCAGCTCAATTAGTCCTATTGAAATTTTTTTAGAATGTCGTTTGAGAATGCCTAAAACGTGCATAACACCATTAGAACATTGTCTAAGACGTTAAACTTTATGTGAATCTCTAGTATACTTTTAATACGGAGTAGAAGATAAGTACTGTATATTTTATTACGCTTCAATCCATACTATGGATATAAATGTAATATCATATGCATGAATCTAAAAATCAATGACTCATAAATAAATTTAACTTTTCATCCAAATAAGATTACATATTAATCGTAGGCATTGATCAAATGTCAACTTATTTTGTGATAAAATGTCCGTGCAAATATAGCTTCGATTCATTCCATAAATCTCTAGCTCGTGTAAAAGGCAGGACTCAGCAGCCATACAAGTGCTTCTATGTCTGCTAACAAAATAATTTTGAATACTTAATTTGCATATATATTATTAAATTTTTATTTATTACAGATTTTAAATCGTGAAAATTGAATAGTGAACTTAGTTGAGGAGTGGAGATAATAATGAGTTAATAACACTTGAAATTTAAGTATTTTTATTTGTCTAAGTTTTTACACTCCCTCTAAACTTGGATTAATTCCTCACCACACACTACAACCTAAGAGGTTGGCCATATGAAAAGGGTGCCACGTCTCAATGCTTGTCAATAAATGTATACAAGTATAATGTGCACCAAGTCAAACCGGCTAATCGAGGGGAAACCAACTAAACGAGGAAAAGCAACCTCGCAATCCACCACGGTAGGTGCCTAGGTGGTTTGGATAATTGATTCAAGACGGCATCTCGTGTGAAAGACCAAAGATATTAGTTAGATCAAGGGTGGGCATAAAAACCAATTGATCCGGTATCGAACTGGTACCGAACTGATCCGTGATAGAGTCGAATATCATGTATTTCAGCAGTTCTGTACAATTTTATACCCGAACTGAAATTGTACTGTTTGAAACAGCTGCAAGACCGGTTCTTGATTTTGGGAATCGAAAAAACCGGACCAAATCGTTTAATATTATTACATGTTAGTTTTTTATATTTTTTCTTCCCAATCAATATCTTATCTAGATCAACAATTTCATAGGCTAAGTATGGTTTCATTCGTTGTTAAAATAGTTAAATGTGTGTATAAATTTTGTTATTCTTTTCTTTTAGATAATTTATGTTATATTTTGGTGTATATATGTAGAATGCTAAATTAATTAATGACTACTAACTTTCAGTAATGTAGTGTGTATGACTACTTGTTGTATCATATTTGTGTAGTTTTGCAACTAAATTTAGATCTTAGCTTCCACGATGCAATTACGAATTAGAACTAATATTCAACCAAGAACAAAGAATTGAAGAAGAATGATGGTTTTTTCTATAATATTCAATAATTTGATAATATTCTTTTTATATTTGCATGTACATCCGGTGTATCATAATTTTTCTATATTTTGCAAACTTAAAAAAAACATGTAAGTCTCTTGAATCTTTCATGGTCTTTATGTACTATGCTCTCTCTTATATTTTTATCAACATTTTATGTTAAGTGGTCGGTATGATGAGTTTACCGAGAGCAAGTTTTTTTTTCAAAATTGTTAGCATCAGTTTGGCACTATACCGAACCATTTCGTACTGTTTTAAAATGACATGGTACTGAACGGTTCCAACCTTAGAACTAAACCGATAGAAACTTCACAGGGACATTACGGGTTTGGCTAATTTACTGGACCGTTTCGGATCATGCTCATCCCAAAGTTAGATCGTAATTTTGTGATTTGGTCTAATTTAGTTTAGTTTATTTAAATTTAGTCTTGTTTGATCAGAATTAGTCTGATACTCTGATCTAGTGGATATATGTTTTATGTGTATTTTAGAATTATCGAAAACTAATTTGATCTAATGTCATACTCCCTCCGTTCCTTATAACTTTGTCAACTTTCCTTTTATGGGTGTCCCATTAAGTTTGTCACTTTCCCATTTAAGTAAAGAATTTGTGCATGGTTCCATTTAATTCTCTCATATGCACAAACCTCAACCACACAGTTTTTACTTTATTAATCCATGTGCCGGTCAAACTTGGCAAAGTTATTAGGGACGGAGGGAGTATGGTTTAGTCTAATCTATTTAAGTCTCATATGATCCAATCAACTTTTGGACTGAAACTAATCTAAATAAAAACATGACCTATGCTCATGCAACCATAACTAAGGGTCAGGTCGGCAGTCAGCACTAACAAGGACCTCAACGCCGGCGATCAACCCACACTTTCTCACCCCCATACTTTAGAGCTAGACTGGCCGATTCCATAAGCAAATAGACCCTCCTAAGCTCGTCCATGATTCCATATTTTTATAATTCTAGTGTACTCATTTCTCACTGCTAATCAATAAACACATGTTGTGACTTGTGAGCATCTTATTTGTAAATGATACTCTCCTGAGGTTAATAGTCTCAACCCAAAAGCCTGAGACAAGCCTTTTGGAAGTGATTCGGTGATTATTATAGATAAAATGTTTCAAAGAAAGTCAGGAGTAGGAGTAAAACTTTGATACTTTTGTATTAGGCTCGACGGTTAATTATAATATACTCCGAGCTCTGCTTTCGCTCACGCTTAAATTTAAATAAACTGACTTTTTTTAGGGAATTTAAATAAACTGACTATATCGAGCTAACTAGCTAAGAGAGTAAATGTTCTTAATGAATGCTAGTTAACCACTAGAATTGAGATGAATCTCAAAACTTGGTGTGGTTGTTCCCCATTGGTTGGCCGTCACATTGGTTGGCTCCATAGTCCATCCCGATTTGATTTTTATTGGGTATGTTTGGGAGTTTAAAGGGAAGTGGATAGTAAGGTTTTGAAGGTTAGTCATTGGAAGGTGAAGAGGGTGAAACGGTGAAAGGGTTGGAAACCTTTCTTTTTATTTGGGAGTATCAAGTTTGAAAAGCTAAAGGTTTTGGAAGAATTATAATTAAAATCATTTCACATATATGACGAATTCAAATAATTGAGTTTATATTTATTTAAAATTGAATTAAAGTTGTCATTTAATTAGTTATCCTTCAAAATCCCTCAATTTGGGAGAACTTGAAAATTGAGCATTTGAATGGTTTTGGGAGGTTACAAAAGCTCTCCAAAATCATCGTTCCATATTTTTTAACTCCTAAACATGAGAGGGAGGACCATAAACCCTAGTCAACCATCCCTTCCCCTCCAAACTCCCAAACATACCCGTGATGTATGATGTTTGCTGATGATATTGTTTTGATTGATGAGACACAATCAGGTCTTAAAGCAAAATGGAACTATGGCAAGAAACATTGGAGAACAGGAGTTTCAGACAAAGTCGGAGCGAGATAGAGTACATGGAGTGCAAGTTTGGTGGAGGTAGAAGCAGTGGTAGTAGCGGAATTACTCTAGATGGTAAGGAGATACCGGTCAGCGATGTGTTCCATTACTTGGGCTCCACAATTCAGAAGGACGATGAGTTAGATGGACATGTATCCCATAGAATCAGAACAGGGTGGATGAAGTGGAAGAGTGCGTCAGGATTTCTATGCGATAGAGGTATGCCCACTAGACTGAAGGGTAAGTTTTATAGGATAGCAATTAGGCATGCATTACTGTATGGCGTAGAGTGTTGGGCGATGAAACAATGTCACATTCAAAAGATGAGTGTGGCGGAGATGCGCATGCTGCATTGGATGTGTGGACATACTAGGAAGGACCACGTGAGGAATGAGACAATCAGACAAATGGTGGGAGTAGCACCTATTGAAGACAAGATGCGGGAGTCGCGCCTACGATGGTTTGGTCATGTGCGTAGAAGACCGATTGATGCACCCTGTCAGGCGAGTTGAGATGTGTGGAGAAGAGGCAAGGAAGAGAGGGAGAGGAAGACCCAAACAGATGTGGGTTAGGGGAGTCTGAAGTGATATGCCTCTTCCAGTGAAGTTATCCCTTCCAGTGATTCGGCAGTAGCTGCTCCAAAGCGTATATGCCAATCTTCATTGACAAGGATTCTGTCAAGTTTTTCCTCCACC